AATTAGGAAGTGTTACATTCCACCCTTAATCCTCCTGGCAACTGTTTTATCAGGATCATGATAGATCATTACATAGCTTCTGCATTTTATGCAGGCGGGGTGGGGGTAGGGGTTGCAAAATTTAATCCTTTCATTCACAATTAAAAAAACATTGTCAGAGTCAGAACCAACTCAGAGCTAACCCTCCAGCAGTTTTCATAGGCTGTAAACTACATGGGAGGAGACTGCCTATCTTTTTTCATGGAGCTGCTGGTGAATCCAAACCACGTTTTGATTTAGTAGTGCAACCAGCAGACAGGAATTCAGCATCCTATACAAGTTCTGTCTCCACAGTCTTCCTGGAATAACTTATCTGCTTCTCTGGCATATAATCTATTATAATCTATTTGCTGATGATTTCCAAATAGAGATTTTTCAACCCATTTTGTTTTCCTTGTACCTTAATTCTAAACCAATAAACTAGCAGGTCCAATGGCACCTAAAAAATCAGCATGTTTAAAACTGAATTAGTATAGTCATCCCACTTCACTTCCCATCCTCAAATCCTTTACACCTCCTGTACTCCTGTACCTCAATGGACACCTCCATATTCACCTGGCTGCCCAAGTCAGGAACCTGGTTATCATCCTAGACTCTTCAGTCATCCTCATCTTCTAGATCCAAACTCTGCTATTTCTACCTCCTAAATGTATCTCCACTCTGTGCTTGTCTCTTTATTGCCTTCATTTTTCAACAAAACTATGCGAATCTGCATTTTGCGTCATTTTACACAACTGTTTTTTTTTTTCTTGTGGTTTGTCTTATCACATCTTGTAACAAATTCCAGGACTAGAGACTAAAGATTGTATCTATTTTACAGGTAACAACCTATATGAACTTCATTTATCAGTGAAATGGCTTCAGAAATAAATTTCCAGTTCTTTTGAAACACTGAGAATGTATGTCAAGAAATATATCTATAGATACATAAACATTCATACTACATCTTCCTTAAAATGACATTATCTTTATAAATGATTATTGTTATTCTAAAAAAAAACCCCCAACAGTTCCTACTACTACCTACTACAACACTCTTCTTGTCGTTATGTGCCATGAAGTTGAATACGACTCACAGTGACACTATGAACAATAGATGTGAACCCTGTCCTATCCTATGCCAACATCACCATCCTGAGTATAACACTCTAGGATATATTAGTTATGATAAGTATTTGATGACATTATATATATGTTATCATATAAGCTAGTATAGCCTGTCTATTCGTTTTGTTGTTTTATAAAAATAATGCCAAATGCCACTTGATATTGAAAACAATCTTATGAGCTGAGTACTATCATTATCATTTTCTAGATGAGGACATTAAAACTTAAATATTTGACCAAGGTCTCAAGTTTGAAAATAACAAAGCCAAGATTTGGATCCATGTCAGATGCTGATTCTAGTATTCATGCTCTTAATCTTAAACAATTGCCTCCTAAAGAAAAAAATGAAGTCTATTTTAGTGCTATTTTTTGTTTTAGGGTAAAAGAGTGATGATAGATTTATTAAAAAGTTACATCCCCAAAGGGATAGTCCTCCCTTCCTGAAAGGACATAAGGAGGGAAGACCAATGCTCACAATTTTTAAAAAATAAACAAAAATAAAGTTTAAATAAAACTTACTTCAGGCTCAAATGAAAAAACATAGCAAAGTCCAAAAGAACAAAACTATAGGAGTTAAGAAATGGCCTGTTTGGTTATGCCTAAATATCTTAGAGAAATATAATCAAACTATAAACATTTAGTCATAGAAATAGAAATGTTTCAAAGTAACACATTTCAGTGTTTTCTTTTTTCTCAAGTCAGGGAGCTGAACAGATTTCAAAGGGCAGCTGGAGAAGACAAAGCAAAGTATTATAATGAAATGTGCAAAGAGCTGTAGTTATAAAACAAAAAAGGAATAAAATGCTAAGCATTTCTCAAAGCTGAAAGAACTGAAGAACAAATTCAAACCTCCAGTTGTAATACTGAAGGGTTCTATTGGCAAAATAGTGGATAGAGGAAATTTTTTTTTTTAAAGGTGACGAGAACACACAGAAGCATTGTATCAAAAAGAAGTATTAGACACTAAACTATTTCAGGAAGTAGCCTAAGATCAAGAACCAAAGGAAGAAATTTAAGCAGCACTGAAGATAATCAGCAAAAAATAAGGCTCCAGGAGTTTATGGAATACCAACTGGCATATTTCAACAAACAGATCTATCCCTGGGCATGTTCACTAAGCTGTGCCAGGAAAACTAAAAAACAGTAAACTGGCCAACTCACTGGAAGAAATCAGTATCTGTCCCAAAAAAGGTGATACAACAAACAGAATATGGCAATTATCAAGCAATGTCATTATTAGCACATGGAGAAGATTATTAAAACACTGCTGGAACAGTACATTGACAGAAAACTCCCAGAAATTCAAGCTGGATTCAAAGAGGCCCAAGGGATATCACTGGTGGTGTCAGACAGATCCTTGCTAAAAGCAGACAATATCATAAAGATGTCTACTTGTGTTTTACTGACCGTGCAAAGGCATTTGACTCTGTAGATTATGTAATAAATTAACGCTAACATTGAAAAGGACTCCAAGAACACATAATTGTGCTCATGCAAGACCTATACTATACCAAGAAGCAGTTGTCCAAATAGGAGACTCTTGCATGGTTTAAAATCAGGAAAGGTGAGCATCAGGGTTGTATCCTTTCTATATACCTATTCAATCCATGTGCTGAACAAATATGAGAAGCTAGACTCTCTGAAGAAGAATGTGGCATCAAGTTTGGAAGAGGACTCATCAACAACTTGCATTATACAGATGACACAATCTTGTTTGCAGAACGTGTAGAAGCACTCACTAGACAAGTTCAAAGACTTCAATCCGGATTACATCTCAACATCAAGAAAACAAAAATCCTCACCACTGGACCAATTAGCAACATCATAATAGATGGAGAAAAGATTAAATTGTCAATGATTTCATCTTGCTTAGACCCACAATCAACAACCTTGGTACCAACAGTAAAGAAATCGAGACATGTTGCATTGCAAAAAGCTTCTGTCAAGGACCTCTCCAAAGTGTTAACAAGTAAGGATATCAGTTTAGAAACTAAGGTGCACCTGATTTTAGCCCTAGTACTTTCAAATGCTTCTTATGTATCTGTAAGTTGGACAATTAATAAGAATGACAAGAATGGATGCCACTAAACTGTAGTATTAGAGAACAGTAATGAATTATCCCACAGACCACCATAAGAACAAGAAAACCTGTCCAAGAGCAACCAGGGTGTTCAGTAACAGGTAAGGATAGTGAAACTATGTAGGAGATAGAGAAGATTGTGCAGGATAGGGCAAGGTTCAGACATGTTATTCACAGGGTCTCTATGAATCAGTGGATTGGTTTGCACCTAACAACAATAGTAGATCCACAATCCAGAGAGGCCCCATGTGACATAAGATAAAACTGCTTCACGAAGTATTTCTTGAATGTTTCATGGAAGCTGATCAACAAGATCTTTTCTTCTTCAGAGGTGCTGAGTAGATTTCCCACTGCCAAACTTTAGGGTGGCAGCCTTTCATAAAATTGTCACCTAGCTCCCAAAAATTCAATACCATCATGTTGGAGCTGACTCATAACTGACTCTCTGGTGGGTTTCAGAGGCCATAAGTTCCATGGAAGAGACCCTCATCTTTCTCCCAAGAAGCAGCAGGCAGATTCAAACCACATGCCTTTGGGTTGACAGCATACCCTTTACTCAATAGGCCACCACTGAAATACCACTTTAGTCAAACAATGTCTAGGGTCATATATTAGCACATGTCACAAAGAAATTCTGCAGATATAAAAATCCTTCGTGATATTTTTTAATTGGGGGAGGGAGGAGTGTGTGGGTAAGTATCAACCAGCCCACCAGAAGTAGGCTGAAAAGATTCACAAACCTCAACCTTGATGACTTCTCTGCTTTCAGACTTCTAAAACACAAATCTAAAGGTCTGATCCTCGGATACTGAAAGCACAGGTGCACATTGACATTTACAGACCAGTAAGGTCAAGCTTCAACCTACAATTAGTGACAATTTCTGACGGATGCTGCAGATCAATGGCTTCAACTTTGCATATGGACAGAAAGCAGACAAACCAACCAGCCCTTGACAGTAAGTGGATTCAGATTCATAGCCATCACTGACGGATACCTAACAGAGAGTAAAACTGCCGTTTAAGATTCCCGAGGTTGTAAATCTTGATGGAAGCGGACTGGCGACACATCTTTCTCCTGCGGTGAGACGAGTGCGTTCGAACCTTTCGGACATTTTAAGCGCACAGCTCACTTAGGACTGGGCCCTTGGGTGGAAGGTGGATTCCAGAATGGTTTCTCGGGAAGGATGAGAGGCGTGGAGAGGCGGCCTCCACCGGCCAGAAGCCGCCGCGCACCGCTTCTTTTGTTGGGGTGGAGAGGAGGGCGGACCCAGGCCCCCTCCAGGGGGCAAACGGAGGGTGGGCGGAGAAAGTTGAGGGGGCAAAACATCGCCGCGGCCCCCGGCCAGCCCCAGGGTGGGAACACAAAGAATGTGGGAAGCGCCGGCCGACCGCCGAGCACCCCTAAACTCCCTTCACTATGAAACGCCGCGAAACTCCAGGCCCGGCCCGCCGCGGAGCCTCCGGCAGCGTGAGCGCCGGCGCCCGGGGTCCGCCGCGCGCC